GGTTTTTTGCTTAGTTTGCTTTTCCTCATTGCCCCTTTTGTAAGAGAACTATGATGATAAATAAACACTAGAAAATACGTACAGTACCATTTTGACAGATTGTCCCATGGAGGGACTGTCAAAACCTCGTGTCAGCCACTAGAGGCCGCCAAACATGATTGTTATGGTTGGAAATACAGTAGTCTCACCTGTAATAACTGATATAAGTGGTGGGCGTATAGTGTTTATGGTGGCTAGGTTGAGAAACGAGTATTTGGGGAATGATGTGAAACTTTTTAAAGAGTGTAGTTTTGTAATAAGCATAAAAAGTCTGTTTTATTTTAAACCCAATTAAACAAATGGAACCTCTATTTTGAAGATGCAGAAGTAGTGGAACAATTGTCTTTCAATCGGCCAACATACTGTAACTTGATGCTCAGTGGTTTATTGTTGAATTATTAAGCATTATGATAAGAGCTGTGATCAAGCAGTCTCACTTTGATTTCTGCTTCTGGTGCCTGTGCTTGACAGCCAAAATGAAATAAAGAGAACTTTCTATCAAAGAATAGCAGCAATTTATAAATCAAATGAAAGAAGAAAATCAGAACTCTAGCATAGAAATTGTGCTATCAAAGGTAACAAAATCCACCATTTGCAGACACATGAGACAGCAGAATTACAAAGGATACCCTGAAATACGAAAACCTCTTGTCAGCGTCAATAGCAGAAAAGCCAGATCTTTGGAACTAAGTTTTTATGGACAGATGAGACCCCAATGAGCCTTTATCAATATGATGAAAAGGTTAAAGTGTGCAGTTAGAAAGGAACTGCAGATTATCCAAAGTACAACATCTCATCTATGAAGCACAGTAGAGGTAATATCATGGCCTGGGCAGGGCATGCTTGGCTACTTCTGACACTGGCTGAGTTGTCTTTATTGATGATATACCAACTGATGGCAGCAGAAGAATGAATTCTAAAGTTTAGAGAATTCATTACAGTCAATCACTAAGTTTATCATTTTGTATCTAAGATACAGTGTAATGATTGATACATGCCTAGTCCACCATTTCCCAATTTCCCATTTCTTAACACCTAACCGAAATACAGAGTTGGTGAATCTTAGACTTTCACATCTCTGAGATCAGATGTAGAAGGTCTTTTAAAACCAGCTGGCATGGCATGATCTTGGACATGCACTGACCCTCCAGAATATTTTTTGCAAGGCAGAACACTGATGTTCATTCATTGAATCTGGAACAGAAACAGGAGTTTGGGAATCATCTGCAGAGGACTTTGCGCTTGCTGATAATGCCTAACAGCTGGCCAAAAATAAGGGATGCTGCAATGTTACAAGCCAAGATTTTCCAATCTGCTCTGTTGTATGTCAACCTCATAATGCTTGACATACAGTACACAGCCTACCACTTGTGTTTCAGCTGGTGAGTATTATTTTAATATTTAGGATGCCAAGAAGCAACTTCAACATGTTGAATTACCTGCACATACATTACAATCAACAATACAAGGTGAACCTAGTAATTCCTCAATTAACTAGAAGGCTTCTGTTGATTGGTTGAGGGCTGTTTTTGGCTCGGGTGTGGGCCCTGTCAATTACATGGGTGGGGTATCCTCTGTTGATGAAAAAAGAGTGCATTTTGAGTGCTTCGTTCTGGAAATCGACATCATCACTGCTGAGTAATCGTACCCGAAGAAACTGTGAAAAAGGGAGAGAGTTTTTAGTGTGCTTGGGGTGAAATGAGTTGTACAGATAGCTGTGTGAATCTGTGAGTAGAGAGTCGGGAATGGTTGATGGATAGGTTTATGTCTAGAAACGGAAGAGTAGTGGAGGATATGTTAACTGTATATTTGAGGGACGGGCGGAAGTTGGTGAAATGATGCAGAAAGTGCTCGGTCTGGTCATTAGAGCATGTGGCTGCACTGAGACAGTCATCAATGTATCACTTGTAGAGGTCCAGGACAAATCCCATGTAGGAAGCGAAGAGGCGTTCTTCTACCCAGCCGACAATAATATTGGTATAGCTGGGTCCCATTCTGGTGCCCATGGTGACTCCACTAACTTGCTGGTAAAAAAGGTAATTGAAAGAGAATGCGTTAAGTGTGAGTACCAATTCTGAAACGCGTACAAGGGTGTGGGTGGGTGGATCAAGCACTGTGTGTTTGTCCAACATGTGCTTGAGGGCTGTAAGACTGTCATTGTGGAGAATTGTGTAGAGAGATGTGATGTCCATGGTGAAAATGTAGCATTCTGGACCCTGAAAATGGAAATCATTAAAAAAACATACCCTATCATTATGGACTGGCAGCCCATCAGGACACTCCTACTCTTTCAAAAAGTGCCATTGGATCTACAGTATAATGCCCAGATAGCCAGGACCACTGTTTAACAGCTTGCCCCAATGACAGGACATCCTGCAACACAGTGTGCCCAGTTACTCTAGTGGTGCATTGCTTTGGAAATCCTGCTCTAGAGAAAAGTGTGCCGCCTACTGTGTGTCCATCAGTATTGAAGCTCCTTGGTGGTCCCCAATCTCAGTATTGCCAGGTAGAGCCTTGCTTAGCATCTGCAATCTGATAAGATCAGTCTAGAAGGTGATAACAGCTACAAGATGTGATTACAATAAAGATCAGTAGTGACTTTAAACCAGCGTTTAACTATGTGATTAATTTAAAAAGGTATCATTAAAAGTAAAAGACAATATAAATCTGCAATATAAAGTAGTGCAAATATGGCACAAGTGGAATGAGCAGCTGAATTTTATAAAGGCATTTACAAAAGAGCAATTAAATTGTAAAAGGGAAAGGGACCCTTTGGTTATATTTACTATTTCAAATGAGACATTCAGACAGACTGCTGTAAGTGTAAAATTCACTGTTTTACACTTTAATATTAAAGTGCTTTAATATTATTGAAATAAAATAAAATAATTTGGATAAACTGCCTTAATCTTTGTTAATATTAATTAATTCACTAATTTATTTGGCTGAAACTTTTATCTAACATAACTTATGTTTGTGCCCATTCATACAGATAGGTATTTTACTGCAACAATTCAAGAGGAAGCAATGTTTCAGAACAGCAGAGTCTCACCTGGGTTTTGAGACCACAGTCTTTTAGCTACAGCCAGGTCCAAAGCCCTAACTACTAGCCCACATGACTGAACTTCTCTTCAGCTGTTGCAATTATAGTCTTTATCTTTATCTTCATAGTACTACAGCACATCCTTCAACAACACTTTGCAGGACTGCAAATTATGTGAAATAATTTGTGGGAAGAAGTTAAGAATACAGAAAGGTGACTTTCTAGATCATAATATTCCAAGGCTAAACATTCCACTCTTTCAGGTGTAGACAGGGATGTGTAAGGCATAAAGAAATAGGAGAAGAAACCATTCACTTGCAATTTTGAAATGATATAAAAATAAAACTCTCAGCACTCATCAATTATACCATTTAATTAAAGATTTAAAATAAAACCTCACACACATCCCAAATAATGTCATAACCATTATGTATTTTTATTATGTAGCATAATCACACAAACAGCAAAGAATTAATGAATAATCACATACAGTATGAAAATACTGAATTAAAATCGTATGAGGAAGTTAAGCTTCAGTAGCTATTTTGAATTTTCTTTTTGAAGTGAGGTTTCGTGTTCTGCTAATAAACTGTACAGAATACAGTAATGAACACTCTTGCTTACAGAAGACACATTAAAATACCGCTTTGTATACTGTATACAGTATAAGGTTGAAATGTATGTTAACTGAGAGACTAAGAGACATATAGTAAACTGCAGGGCAGCCTAAGCGGAGATCAGAGTCGTGCTGCAGTGCCACCACTGGCGGCACGTCACTAAACCCATTCTAGTGTTTAAAAATTGCACTAGCATCTTCAAGTTAATTTCTGGCTACAGTATTTACTGTACGTTTCACGAAACATTAACAGATTATTGGGCTTTTTACATTCAAAACCATTTGAAACAGAATTAAGCATATTGCTTCCCCTACAATCCCAATGAAAGAACAGAATCCTAGCCTCGAAGCTGCTTTTAAATCTCAATGAAAGAAAAAAAAAGGTTCCATCTCTTGAATGAGAAGGATTACAATGAACTGCCTAATTAAAGTGCTACTTGATTGATGGTTATTTACACAGTCAAAACAGTAACATTAACCCAGTTTAAGATGATTTATCTTCTTCAAGGATTAAAAAAGACAAAATGAACCACGTTTTCAAGGTGCCGGCTGCCATTTTATCACCAACATCATCAAAGAAACTCAGCTCACTCATCTTCTGCCACAGCCCTCTCTCCCCTGTTCTAGAAGACGTGGTCAGCACTCCACGGACGGCTTTCACAGTTACCTACTCTACTCATTTTCCACTACAGTACTTAATGCACACTAGATAGTTCAGGGACTAGTTTAGCCTTTTCTCAATGAATAACAATTAAGTTCGAATGATAAATATTATCGGTCCAACAGTGAATATAGCTTAATCTTAGTCAATTGCTAAAACGTCTGTTTTAGCAGACATTTAAATGGAAGTATCAAATGAAATAAAAAGCTCGCGCGATAAATTCAAATGCAGCCCCCTTGCTTTGTTTTTTTTCTTGCAACTGCAACAACAACAACAACAACAACAACAACAACAACAACAACAACAACAACAACAACAACAACAACAACAATAATAATTTATCACATGATTGCAAAAAAAAACCTTCCCCGACAGTGATTTCAGCATTTCCGTTAATAACCAGTTGCGCACCTGTGGAGGTGATACACAAAGGACAAAGTAAACCTCTTAAGATACTGTTGCTCCTACCACAGCCCAGTATTTCATCGCTTACGGTTGCTTATTCAGGTACTTCAAAGCATACCGCTGAAGGTGGCGCTGGAGTTCAAGCAAAGTCTTTGAAGGGTTAAGGTGCCTGCTGTAGGTCCTTTCCATACCCTCTCGCTCATTGCTGTTTCCATCAGTCCGTGGGTAAGTATTGGTCACCTGTCAGGAACAGCAAACTACCTCTGCTAAACACGTTCTGCGAATATAATGTACTGTGTTTCTCTCCCAGCTGATGAGTCGCATAGAACACTCTACGCTGTTTTGACCGGACCTACAAGGTTGTCTTTCAAGCTTATGCATCGTATTTTGCTGATTGAAAACTTTACGAGTGTGCGTTATACACTAGCTTTCTTTTGTAAACCTTAAACAAGCCAACGGATGTGCGATCGGGCATTACCAAGATTAGAGCGGTCCCTTGAGCGTGCATTCAGCTTTTCTCTTTAAAGATTAAGAGCCTGACAACGTCTGAAGGACAGAGCTAAAGGATTACACATTATACATGTTCTTTTTTGCATAAATAAAATAATTTAAATAATTCGTCCTGGTCGTAGCCGAAGATAACTGGGATGTAACGTGTTAACACGCATAGAAGGTAAGGGATCTTTTTTTTTTTAAATGGTTTGTTTTTAGGGTACATTCTGTGCTGTGTGCGATTATTTCACTGCAGTGCATTCTCACCGAGGTTATCGTTTTAGAAGAATATTAGAGAATACATCACCATACTGAAAAAACAAAACAAAACTGTTTTCAAATAAATCAAGTACAGTACATGTAAATTAAGCGGGTGCGTTTTGATGCTTGTGAGATGGAAGGAAGATACTTTGTGAACTTGGTGTGGTTTCTGCTTCAAGTTCTGCAAATCCTTTAATTATCGAAAATATCTCTAACATAGGAACTAGAGAATACAAAAGAAAGCTAGTTCTACACTTTTTTGTAATGTATTAAATAGCTCCACGAAGGTTTTGTGGAACCCTTTTTTTTGCGAATCCGTTAGCAAATATTTTTTTTTTTAAATGAAAACATATAGTACTGTAAGTCTACCCAAGTGGTGCCAGCGGTTCACATGGTTCATAATAGCGATTAGAGTTAATGCTGTGTGGTGAGCAGTCCAGTTTTACTTACAATATATACAGGTATTGTTTGGTATTACCCAGTAATTATTACGTTTTTTTTTAAATATTTTCTGTGCTCCTTGAAGTGATGTGGTGAGTGGTTAAGATGTACAGTTACTGTACCAAAGCATTAATGAGGCGCAAGTCACGAATGGCAAGACCTAACCGTGTAAAGGGGTCCTTACAGTCTTTCATCATCATCACAGTACCAGTTCTGGGACTCCACTGATTTGCATTAGAATCTGTATCGAGGGAGTTTAGACACGAAGGCAGTAATCCCGTTTCTTTAATTAAGTGCCGCCTGAGTCGCATGTCATATTTCTACTTGATTTCATCACTAAGATTTTATGTTTAATTTACAGTATATATATATACATTTTAGTAGGATACTTTTAGTGGCCCTACTAAATCCCTACTGTTTCGCTAGCCAGCTGCTGGTCACACACATAGGAAAGAACACAAAATGAAAACGATAATTTAGGTCATGCTGTATGATCCCTGCTTAACTGCACACATGCTAGTTGATATTATGGCATGATTTGTGTTGAAATGGAAATGGTGACTTGGCTGCTATCAGTTTTTTTTTTTGGGGGTGGCGGGCGAGGGTAACACACAAAGTGCTGCTTAGTCACAAATGGGCCGAACTAATCTGTTAACACGCTTTTGTGTAGCAATGATTATTGTAAGCACACAGAGGATTTGGGTTTTCATTTCAAAACACATGTGTTATATTATGTACGTACAATATTGGCTTGCCATATACATTTAATAGTTTTAATCGATTGATTAATTATTTTTTAAATTATATTTAGCCCATAATCCAAGATTAGGTTGTTGCTGAAAACCTATTAACAGCCATACTCTATAGTGAAAAAAAATGTGAGATCCTTCTAGCTACTTCTGGCAGTCTGAATTGTAGAGGTCTCTGCTTATCCTTGAGTGCACTGTAGCCACAGAGCAACCAAAGGATAGCAATTGAGTAAACACAGAGCACTGCCGGAACACTCGAAGGATAGGTACTGTACTACATATGTAGAAAAAGGAGACAGCTGCTGAATGTGCTCTGGCTACTGAGGAATTACACTTCTGGAGTGCAGATGATAACAGGAAGTATAAAACGTGCCGAAAAATAAAATACAAAGTACAACCTGTACAATATAAATACACAATAGAAAACTATAAAGTCAATGTAGTAAACTGTGACTTGTTAAGGGCAATTTATTATTCAGTTATGTTATTCTATTAAGGAAAAAGGATGGTTCTTATTTTGATAAATTGTGCACAATGGATGCTCATTTCCTAGTTGCTGTTGAAGGTACTGTGAAATGCAGCTTGTTCTGGGGTAGGTGATATGGCAAATAAAGAAATAGTCCATTCAGCAAAAAAAAAATATATTTTTCTTTTTGTTGTGTCTTTCGAAGAAGGACCAAGCTTTTTTATCCTGGTGTGATCTCATTTATAATACAAAGCAGCAAATATCACCTGAAAAATAACACAAGGAAGCAGTCAGAGTGATGCCACCTGTTGTCTACCACAGTAACTTCTTCTTCAGCTGGGAGATTTTGTTAGCCTCTGGAAATGATTACAGCTCATTTATATAGGTTAAGAAAAAAAATATTTTCGACTCCAGGACAGATACTGTAGGTCTAGAACCAAGAAACCTTAACCTATGTCAAAGCTTGTGTACTATGCACCATTAGTGAGGTATTTATCTGAGTGGTTCTTGTTTTCATTGAGCGATAAGGAATATACTGTATCCACCTGATAAATTAATACACAGCATAATTAAAACAATATTTTGTAGCAGAGATCTCGGAAATATTTAATACCATTGTATTTATTGCAATGTAAATGCTCAGAGGTGCAGCTCTGGGCCCCTGAGTTCAGTTCTGGACCTGGGGTGGTACTGTATCTGCATGGAGTTTGTATGTTCACCTCATGTTAATGTGGGTTTCCTCCAGGTGCTTCGGTTTCCTCCCACGGTTCAAAGACATACTGTGCTGTTAGGTTCATTGGCTTCTGGAAACGTTTGATCCTGGTGTGAGCATGTGTGTGTTTGTGTCCATGTCTGTCCTGTGATGGACTGGTGTCCTGTCCAGGGTGTATTGAGCCTTGTGCCTGTTGCTTGCATAGATAAGCTTGTAGGATGAAGGAGGATATATAGGTTGTAGTAGTTAGAAAATGGAACAATAGATAATCTAATTGCTCCCTGACAGGTTCATAATGCAAAAACCTTCAGTACAGTACACATAAAGAACTGAAAAAGGTGCCAACGTTCATACTGATTAGAAATGTTCACCTTCCCATTAAAAAAGAAAAGCAATACAGTATATCAATAGATTTTATGGTGATTTAAACTTACGTAATACAGGTCTGCTAAAATATTATCCCATAGATAATACAATGCTGGCCAGAGCAAAGATTTAAAATTCATGCAGCACATCAGTTATTCACTGAAGTTTTCATATGACATTTCCACTGTAGAGTTTCCTAAGAATAGAACTGGAACAACATAAAAAATTAGAGCACTGAAGCCGAATTGTGTTTTAAATAAGGTTTGAGAGTGGAATTATAAATGGCATTTCAAGGCATTTCTCTTTGTTTTTATGAGTATGTGTAAGCTCGGAGCACAATTCTACCTTACACAGAGAGTTCCTATGTTAGAGATATTTTCGATAATTAAAGGATTTGCAGTCATCCCCACAATGTGTTCAGAGCATGTCAAAATGATATATGTTGTAATTTTTAATCAGTCCTTGCTAGGCAGTATTCAGAAACAGCTCAGCTTTTCAAATTAGCAATGAAACATTTTCAGATCAAGGCCTCATGAAGATGTTAGTATTCTTATCGTGTTGTGCTTGATAGGCTGCCTGGTATTGTTCATGGCTCTTTGGGACTGTGTCTCATGAATACATGATATGATGAGCATTTTGAACTCCCAAGTTCCTAAAAAAAAGACATCTAAAATTTAGTGTGTGAAAACTTCCTTTTTGTACAGTATGTCTTTATAGAGTAGTGTAGAATTTCTGTTGAAAGAAAAAAAATGCTCTGGTAATTCTCTAGACAGGACACTCTATTGCCAATCTTTAATTTCACCAGCTGCACATTAAATCACTAAAATGCCTTTTGAAGTGACATGTCACAGAGTCCATGCAGCACTGATAGGATTAGTGACCAATGTAAGGAAGCTTTGAATTTCACAATTGGAAGATACAGGATAATGTCTCGCACCATAGAAAAACATTTTGGTTAAATATTGAGATCAACAGCAGTCTAATATTCACTTTAGCTACAGTGTAATCAAAGTTATTATAATCACGTTATCGGTGTATGATTTCTTCAGAACAATGCTTTGCATTGTCCTTGCTCTCCAAAAAGGATTGCCAAAAGCTTTGACGTAAAATAAATTCTTCATACATTCTAAATTAGGACTGAAATCCTGAAATGTACAGGTAATCTGTGTCAGGTACAGGTGATAGTACATGAAAGCAGAAAAAATTCATGAAAAAAAAACAAATGTTTGTAATATTCTCTGGTTTGCACTTGCTTATATTTAGCCATACTTTTATCAAGTTAACACGTTGATGTATGCACTCCCTGAAGGGGCATCACTACGCCTCTGATAACCTGAATAACTTAACAATTCAAATTCTGGTCTTTATTCCCTTATAAATAACTGCACCAGCATAGCCCTGTTGTTAGAACTTTAAAATGCTTTCTCCATATGTTCATGTAACTGCAACTAAATTAGTAGCCAGTTAAAATAATTGTTGAAATTTCAAGTTCACAGACGTTCGCAGACCATATTGTTCTCATTTCCTTATGTGTTAAACCTTCAAAAATGTACCAAACTCACAAGAACCTGTAAGAGCAAGGCAAGAGCCTTCAAGCAAGTAAGTTTTATGTTGGCCCATTATTTATAAAGGTACCGATCAAAATAATGTAGGGCATGTTAGTAGATGAGCATAGTGAAATGATAAGCAAATACTAAATAAAGCAAGTCCTGATACTAGCTTGAATGTAAGTTAAGTAATAAAATATTTGCATTGCTTAGGGAATATCAAGTGAGGTCACATAGTTTCTTTAGATTTCTGTGGACAATTTGGTGGTAAAGAAATAAATAGGCAATAGTTTTGAAAGATTATGACACAAAACATACTGTAAACTACAACACAAAACACAAAAGCTCATTCTTATAGATTAATATTCACGATTGATGTGAGCTCCATAATATTACCTCCAACCTTTTTTACTAGATCTCCAGCAGTGTCCATACCAGTTTACCTACAGTATAGCTGCACCTAAATCTTTATAAGGGAACATAAAATACTGCATTCATGATCTAATAAGCATCTACCAGAGGTAAGCATGCCATCTAAGCTGGCACTGTAAAGGAGACCTTTGGCCCCTTACAAAAAGTACATGCAAATAAACATAAGTAACAAGCTCTGCCCGGTAAATAAGAAAAGAAATCTTAAAT